GCTATCAATTTCTTCATACTATACTTTTTTTTTTTTTTTTTTTATTTTAGTTAGGTAATTTTAACTTCGTTAGAATATTGAACTATAACAATACATCATCTACTACTAGATTTTACTTATAAATTAAGCCCCTGTATGGTTGCCATTATTTCCAAAAAAAAAAGACTTTTATGAATTTGGATAGCAAGATAATGACGATAATGAAATCAAAAAGAAAAAATCAAAATTTATTTGGAAACTCAACACGGGAAAAAATCACGGGCAAAAAAAATGTGTGTACGTGTTACGTTATAATAGTGAAAAGTAGGACATTATGTATTAATTACCCTTTTAATAATTTATTTGAGGACTCATTTGTCTTTTTAAAAAAAACTGGAACTATGGTTACAATTAATTTTTTTTTCTTCTTTTTGTTTTTATTTAAAGAGAATGGTATATTCTTCATTTCATAATTTTTAATTGAGAAAATGGATGAAAAAAATATTTCGCGCAATGAAATGTGGAAATAAGGGTGAATATGTCAAAAATGATAAGTAATGACGTTTTTCACAATAACAGTAAAAAGTGGGGACATTATGTGCTATTTTTCCTAATTTTAAGTATTTTTTATTTACTTAAATAAACTTGAGCAAAACTATATAAATAGGTTTTTATTATATTTTTGTTACATAAATAATTTGTTGTTACATCACAAACATAAAATGATATGTTAAAAACTCATATTTGATCAAACAAAAATTCGCCACCCCCCTCACCTCCCCTCCCCTCCCCTCTCCTCTTAATTTAATATCTTCTCTCAAGAATTCGAACTTCAGATACAATTTTTTGCCCAGAAAAACTTGCAAGTTCATAGGGTAGCTTGGATATATTTTCACAACTAAAGGGATGATTCATTACCTCCTTATTTCCAGAAGAAGCTATAAACCCTCTCTAATTCTCAAAACCAAAGAATACCCGTAGGAATCAAATAACTTAATAATATAAATCTCTCTTGCTTCCTAATATGG